TATATATATATATATATATATATATATATATATATATATATATATATAATATAGTATATAGTAATATATATAGTAATAGCTATAGTAATATAGTTATTATATATAATTATAGTAGTATACTATAATTGTCTACACTATATTTCATATATATAAAATATATTATTATATATATATTTTATTTATATAATATTTATTATTATTATATATATATGTAAAATATAGTATAGTAATATATAGTAATAAAGTTGTAGTGTATATATATATATATATATATATTCTATACACTACTACTATATTACTTTAATACTTATAGTTTATAATTAAGTACATTTACTTTACTGTACAGCGAATCAATCTCATCTGAGATTTGAAAGCTTATAATAAAAAAGAAGAAGATTCGGGTCTCACATGCTCATTATACGACTTACTGAATACGAATATATTAGTCATAAAATAGCATGATCGAAATTGAACTTAATGCTGTCGCTCATTCAAAATTCGAAGCATTCAAATTCGAAGCCCAATTTTTGGGCTGTGCTGGAAGTTTTGGGATGCGCGAGGTTATATATATGTTTACATTTTGCATCGGCGTTTGCGATTTGTATCGTGTTCATGCCCGGGAAAGGAAGTGAAACGTTCGCCGAAATCGACGGAGTTTGGACCTGGTGGTTAAGTTCGTCGCGTCGCGGATAGAGGGTGACAGGACAACCGTTTCCGGAATCGTGAAATATAGGGCGGCCAACTAGCCAGATTAATTATATGTACATCTTTTGGCACTGGCTGCTATGCAAACTTGTGTTCGTCTGCTAATGCCATCCTTAGGGACACAACAATTATCATCCAGTTTAATGATTGTAGTCCAGCGACTCTAGCTTCCATTAGGAAGCTAGGGGTGTCGGTTTTAAAAACAGATTGTACCGTTTATAAATTTGGCAAATTCGGAAAGTGAATTTTAAATTCATCGAAATTACATTAACATCCAGTTTAATTAGTGAATTGTTCTATTGAAAACTGTAACGTTTGCGTCATGTTTTTGTAGATCCGCAAGTATTGTTCAACCGACAAATGTTCAAGCATATATGAATAAATGAAAGAAAAAAAATGTTAACGAATGCGCGGATGGAAAGTAATATTTTTCTAGATTTTATTTTCATAAAGGAAAGGGGCCTGTAATTACGGTACGGATATTATTGATTTCCTGCTCTAATCATGAAACACCTCGTCATGATATTGCAGAAATTATAAATAGAAGTTAAGAAGTAGAACGTGTATTTATCATCATTCAAGAATGGAAATCGTGCCTGAAAACAACATGAAAACGGTTAAAAGGAAAATGTCTAGAACATATAATTTACTTCTTCATTAGCGATTCAAAAAAGGAAAATATCGAATTTAAAATTCATATCTCCATTAACGATTCAATCTTTAATAATTCATTACCGCCAGGCCTTTTACTTTGCTGTTATTAAATCTCTATATGTTTAAAATTACGTCAAGTTGACGCAGTCGGGGATTTAAGATAATTCATTCTGAATTATTACGTCGTAACACGTAACTGACAAGTGCAACAATTATTTATGCTTACGGGGTATAAATGCTTATTGATCGAAATGCTGTTGCAATAGACCTTTTTTTATGTAACTATTAAAATCGCTATTAAATAAAATGTAAAATTCGTACGCAGTAATATTTATTACAGGAAAATTCTTATCGCCCAACGATACGTCACATTTTTTATACTAAAATACGTTTACACGAAATTTCATGCTTGCGAAAATTCAGCATCGCAAATTTGTTATTCCCGCACGCATGTAACAATCACGTTGCTGTATCATATTTAATTATTTCACGTTATTCATACTTTACAGTCTAACAAAATTTATTACCTTTCCAAACATTTCGGACATTTTAACATTATTTAACACACGAAAATGAAGATGATCTAAAAAGTGAATTACTTAACGATGCTTTTCGTTAATGATAGTGCAAACAATGTTACACACGCACTTTGCGTTATTAAAATGCGTTGGATTTTTCATTTATTGTTACATTAGCATTCCAACGTTTTTCATAAATTCGCTGGTTTTTATTAGCTAGTAGATATAAACAAATCGATACAATATAACTGCTACCAGCAGTTACAACAAGTAGAGTAGCTAAGTAATAAGTCAGGCATGCTGGTCAGATCGTATTCGACAGTTCTCCGTGACTTTGAACAGGTATAGAATCACTGTCGATTATAGTATTCACATGAAACTGGTGTTACCAGAAAGAGAGACTCAAGAAAATTATTAACTTACCCTTTTCTAACAATTCAATGTACAGGAAGTCCACGAATATCCTCCGTATGTTATACAGGTACGAAATCACTCGCCTGAAAGAAAAATTTAAAAATATTATAAGCACAGCTGGTAAAACTACACTTTTGATATTTTATTGGTGTCATTGTGATTTCAATACACTTTCAATACTATTTCAACATATTCAAGTATACATTTATTTGGATATATTTATATATCAAATACGTCCTCACATAGTGCAAAATAAGATTTGTCTGAGTCCATTCGCACGAAGCGAAAGTCATATGGCAAAAGGAACCGTTCTTTGAACATTAAGGTTAATAATTAACGCAAATAGTTTAACACAGATATTAAAACTAAAATCTAAACACTAAAATCTATTGTATTCTAAAAGTGAGAAACGCGCGTTGCATTACAAGAATTGACGACTGAAATCATTGAAATTTTCCGCTAGTTTTGTAACAATTTATGCTTGAATTAAGAAACTAATTTATTCACACATTTCCTACGAGTCTCCATAATTTCGACAATTCTTAAGCAATTTAACAAATTTAACGAATTCTTGTGGGCACGGTAGACTTAGTGTCAACGCTAAATTTACGGAGCACAAAAAGTAGCTGTTTCATATATTAGTTTATAAAAGTAACGATAAGTAACATATAAATCGAAAAAAAACTCATAAATGAGCCGTTTATTTTGAAAGTGGCATAAGTCACTTTACCGTAATGAAAAGTGGTGATTTTCTACTACTGTATATAATAACTTCTTCCGAAATTGTTATTTAATCCCTCAAGTGAAAATGGTGCATATTTAAATATTTAGATATCATATTATCTTCTAACCGTTAAAAAAGAAATTATTATGATACTTAATGAATAATTGGAAAATAAAAAATATTAAGAAAAAAATTTAAATAGTTCGTACATTTTGTTCACAATCATTTCAATTGTCGCAAGAATTTTTTCTTAATATCATTGTAACTTGAAAAGGATATTTTTCAATTTTCATTTCGATTTAGTTTTTGTTTTCGCCGGCAATATTTATGTAAATTCATGAAATAATTCTACATGTGTGAACATACACATCAAACACAAAAACTACAACAACAACAATATAACACATTCAATACAATAAATTTAATATTTTTCCTTTGCGTGATAATTATTAAAGAATCACACGCATGTTGTGTGAGTGGCCATTAAAGCGTTAATCTCAGCATTACTTTATTAATCTGTTCTGTTACAAATGAAACGCTGTCCACATTTATGTAAATATATCAAATAAAAATAGATATATTCTAGTTTTATTTTGCTATATATATATAACCCCTCGCATAGAGCCGAACTAAATTAAATCGTCTGCACACGCACGTTTCCCTGAAAATAAATCCTGTGACAAGTTAGGACAAAATTATGCAGCTCCTTTTACGATACAATCATTCAAAAGCCTATCATATGAGCCGTTTATTTTGAAAGTGGCATAAGTCACTTTACCGTAATGAAAAGTGGTGATTTTTTAATGTTTATACGAAATTATTTATACTGAGAAAAATATCTCAGTATCCTGAGATAACGAATACAAGTAAATCTTCTCGAAAGTTAGCATCCATATTTTTAAACGTGTTAAAACGCAAGCCTTTAAATATATCGATTTCAAAACAAAGTAACTTATGCCACTTTCAAAATAAACGGCTCAAATGTATCTTTGCGTAACATTTACGTATGAATAATAGTAAATTAAAAAAGTCAGTGACCCGTCATCTTGACGGGAGTCCGTAAACATTGTCTTAATATCTAAGTCACTAATATCCGTCATAAACACACAAATCCGTCGTCCACACAGAGGACATCTCCGATCACCCTTTTTATACAGATTAATCAGAAACTCGAAGCTAATAAACTTCAAGGATTCTTCTCAACGCCACCAATTTTATGCACGGCTCGCTAATCGAATACGACTCTCTCTCTCTCTCTATCTCTCTCTATATATCTGTTCGGAATCACACGGAGGATATTCATGGCTGGTATAATTAAACCGCAGCGCGTTTTCACACTGTCACATTTATTCAAGCACTTCCCGATCAAAAAATGAACCGACCGCGGCCGGTTCCCCTCGGGACCGGTTCCCGATGGCCACCGGTGCGCCCACCGGTGCGCCCACGAATATCTCTCAGCTATTAATCTGCCAGCTAACGAATGAATAGTAAATACAAGGTTCGGGACTCTCGCAGCGTTTTCTAACATTTGTCTGTTCCGCGTCGCGAGTCGAACAAGGGGGAATAGCCTGTAGCGATCACCGGTGGGGGCACGGAAAGGGAGTATGAAAAGTGCTCGGAGAATGCTTTAAGCTGCCGCCGGAGGGTGGCGAAATCGCACGAATCGTACCGAGCCGAGCCGAAAGCTCGGTCACCCCTGTCAGTAGGCCTGCCGCAACGCAGCAGTGAGCGCGCCTTCTGCTCTGCGCAGAGACTTTACGCTTTTCCCGACTGCAGCACGGCGGATTTTCAAGCAACAATCACTGCCGGGAACCGTTCCTAACGTTGTGTTCAATCGCGGGAAAAACGCGCACGGTCGACTGCTCGCCGATTATTTCTCCTCGATCGTGCAGCATCGATGGACATCGACCGTTCGTCGTCGTGACCCTTCGCCAATGACAAGAACTTGCTTGTAATCACAGTGAACTTAAGACCAGAATCGTCGTCGTCCGATACAAATTTCTTCGCAACATACGGAAACAGTGCGAGTCGAAGTTTCCTGTCAACAGTGCGTTCAGACGCCTTCGGGCGAAGAAGCTCGGAGATCGCTGAATGAAAATTCGCCGAGATTCGACGCCTTTGCACGGGAACAGGTACACCCGGATGCGATCTTCCCGGCGGTGAGGCCGCGAGCGGCGAGAGCTGGTTTGCTCTTGTTCAGGGGCCAATTTTGCGCCCCCCGTGACAATCGAGTAAGCGCGGGGATTGGCAGTTTCGCACGCGGCGTAGGATGCGCTCGATAGATTATGACACCGTGAAACGGCTCTGACGACAGTCGACACGCCTCCTCTCGCGATACCATCTGATGGGCCCTAATGACGCCGCTTCGGCGTTATCATCGTCAGCATCGCCGGGGACGACGTCTATTTCCATCGTTCGACTGTATCGTCCCACGCGCCGCGGCATCGGCCAGTTCTGAAAAAGACCGGCGTTACGTCATTATCGGCGAACGATGACAGGAACGCCTCGCGGTGATCTCGCTCTCGCTTTCACTCCCTCTCTCTCTCTCCTCTCTGTCTCTCTGTGAAGTGTAGCCGCGTATGAAGCTGTCGTTAATGGACCGTGGACGACGGAATATACGATTAGCCCGTCGAGCAGTGCCATTAATAACGCCGAAGACGCTCCATAAAGATCGCGCGCGATCGCGTCGATGGGGGAGTGACGGTTGTTTAATAAAAAAAGAAAACAGAGGAGACATCGCCGCACTGCCGTTCAGATGTCCCGTGAATGAACTCCGCTCTCGTTTCACGGTTACGATAGCCACCCGCGCCCAATTAGCCGTCGGCCCCAGCGAGAATAGTCGCGAGACGATGGACAAGTTTGCGGAGCGGTCGCGCGGGGACACAGAACTCGCGGTGTGAAATTATCGTGGCGGAGCAAGAGTGTACAACTGTGAAGTTTCGTGTCGCCGCGACTTGGACCTCGGCGTCGGAAGCCCGGAGTCCCGAGAGGCGGAGGGATCGCTCGCGAGAACGCAGTCCCGAGCCAACGTCGGATTCATTGAAACTTATCAGCTGTCTCGACCTACTTGCTATTCGCCGGCTAAGGAGGACGATGCTCGAACCCGGCGAACGGGCAGCTGCCAGCTTAAAAGGATTCGCCAGTTTGCCAGCGTACAATCGCAGGATGAAGGGGGTGCTTCTGCTGATGAGCATGATGGTTCGATTTGTAGCGGCGCAGCCTTTCCTCGACAACGTCGACGGGCCAAGTAAGTGATCGAAACTTCTCTGTAACTCTCTCTTTCTCTCTCTCTTTCTCTTTCTTTCTCTCTCTTTCTCTCTCTCTCTCTCTCTCTCTCTCTCTCTCTCCTCGCTCGGCTGTGCTTTCGCGGACGCTTAATTAAGCCGTAGGAGCGATTGTCCCCGGGATTAAGAGGCCTCGGGACGCGAGTCTTTCCCCGAATTATCGTTCGTTGCGAACAAGTCCCGTTCTCCCGTCGTTATTCGCCGTTCTCGCTTACTACATATCTGTCCGGGAGGTTTCCGCCAGCGCCGGAGCTTGCGTTGCCTGTCAAAACGTTCACGGTGAACGCTCGGCGCCGCGAACGCAGCAATTACGCCACCAATTAATGGGGAAATACGGGCCGACGCGGCGTCAGTTATTCATAAAGACGCTGTCGACAGCTTCATAAACGTTGTAAAGCGTTTGCGGCACACGATGAAGCCACTGTGGACGGCAGCACGGCGCTGCGTTAGCAGAAAAAGGCGGTGTTACCGTCGATTATGCGATAGGTTTGCGCGGATGCTACCGAGAATTCGGCTGTCAATAGTTGTTTCGCGGGCAGCATAGGCCCGGCGTTTCCGTGCTCGACGACATCGGGCCGGACCGCGCGGCGGTCCGTTTATTTAATCGATGTATTATGCAAATTGACATAACGGCTCCACTTCGGATGCAGTAATCGACCACCGTCTCTCGACTGATTCACAATGGGACAATGTATACGGTGAATAATTGGCAGTGGCGGCCTGCTGCTGCTGCTGCTTCGAAATCAAAGCTACCGAACTTCCTCCTCGCCGACGCGAAATGATGAACGGCCACGAGGTTTTGAAGATATCTGTTTGTATGGCCGACCAGCGTCTACTCCATCTCTGCTGTCTAAACAGACGGGTTCGACAGCCAGTTTCCCTCGGTCCGCGGGTTTCGCCGTTGCCGAGAGAAACTTTGCTGTTGTTTTCGGTATCGTTGTTCTTATTGCCGGGCTAATTGCCTTCTACAAGTTTTGGCAGACGCTCGGAGCGATCTTCAAGTTCTCGATACTCGAAACATTGATGAGTGTAATTAAATGTATTGAAAAACACAACGGCGCCTCCTGGAAACATCGCTTTCAAGCACTCTCTTCAAGCTCAGAATCACCATAAATATGGTAATAGATAATAAGCTGTGATAGAGAGATGATAAGCAAATGCTTATCATAGCAGGCGCTGTGAATCGAAAATTTAGCACCGTTTCAGCTGATCCGTATTTGAAATTCAAATGCTTTTTCTAGCTGTTACAAACAGGGACAATTTTCTTATGTATTTTCTGTAGCATATAGTTAGCTGAGATGCAGCATTGGTCTATTTTTATAATGAAGTTTAAAGTTAGATGCGATTATTTGCGACTTTACAAATTATCGCTGCTTACCCTTGTGAAAACATTGTTGAAAATCTATGAAGAATATATGAGCCGTTTATTTTGAAAGTGGCATAAGTCACTTTGTTTTTAAGTCGATATATGTAAGGGTTTGCGTTTTAACACGTTTAAAAATATGGATGCTAACTTTCGAGAAGATTTGCTTGTATTTGTTATCTCAGGATACTGATATTTTTCTCAGTATAAATAATTTCGTATAAACATTAAAAAATCACCACTTTTCATTACAGTAAAGTGACTTATGCCACTTTCAAAATAAACGGTTCATATGTCTATATATCGATATGATGAATATATATCTATGATATATATTTTGCTATATATTTTTACATGTATGTGTACCTTAAGTTGTGACTTAGACGAACTGGCATGATTTATCCGAATTTTCTAAACAATTATAACAAATCTACAAGTTTTATTAACATAAGCACCAATTCGAAGTTCCACTGTTTAACAAAATTAATTGATAATAAAATTTAACAAAATTAAGCGGCAGGTATTGTGGAATTTTTTGGAATGGGAACCAACTTGAATTGCTCTAATGCAGCGTGGAGAAAACGAAAACGGAAGAAGAAGATGAAACCAAGATCAACGTGAAAAGCACTTAAAACGTGAAAAACATCGAAAGATTAAAATATATCGTAATGAAAAAGTTTTATACTGTCTGCATAATGTCTTAAAAAAGAAATACAGTAAGATTGTGAATTGAAGCCGTGATTACATTGCTTTTTGACAGCATGTCTCAAATATTAACTATTAGATTTACGGAGCACAAAAAACAGCTGTTTTATATTAGTTTATAAAAGTAACAATAGGACATTTATTCCGACTTTTAACACTTGTTGTTATTATAACATTTGCTGTAAGTAACATATAAAATTAATAAATAACTGTATCTTTACGATATGATTAATCGAAAATTGAAACAATTGGTGCCCCGTCATTTTGACGGGTTCCGTAAATCTAGCGTTAATCGAAATAGTAGATCATTAAACGGCACGAATTTAGAATCATTTAAGATTCAAGAAGTACGGAGATCTTGCAATACTTCGTCATGAATCTTGCATACACATCGGTACTGTCGAAGGTTATTAGGTATTTTGAGATCGAAAACACAGCTGAATTTACATCGAATGACAAAACGACGAGCATCGTGACCAATTTAATTATTCGATTAAATTAAACATATAAAATGCTTTCACGCACTGTATTTAATAAACGCCACGATTAATTCATTTCTCGTTGATTGGTGTTGGATTTGCCTACATGCCTACCCATTCGAGTTATGGCAACGTGAATTTCGCGGAAAATTAACGTAACGTAGAATAATTTCGCGACGATTGAATTCTGGCGATTACTATGGCTTTGTTTCAAGCGAATGTGCTCCCAAGTAAATATGACTCAGGTATTGTACCCATCAGTGTGCGCTAGTATTCCGCAAATGGTTCCCAATTTCATCATTTCCAAAGGGTATAAACGTATCGTATTGTTCCTGCGAAATAACTGATTACACGTAATCCTTTTGACGTTTAACGCAACAGAATCCAATTTCACGGAGCGGAAAAGGTTATTGGGCACAGCGGAGGATGCATGCGTTCTTTTCTTATCGCGAAAACGAAGAATGATCCGGCGAAACACGTTGAGAAAACGTTAATCGAACAACAGTGCAACAAATATGGAACGTTGTTTCGATTTTGAACGGTTGATGCGAGCAAACCAGAACGAATCAGAAATATGTGCCGTTTATTTTGAAAGTGGCATAAGTCACTTTGTTTTTAAGTCGATATGTTTAAGGGTTTGCGTTTTAACACGTTTAAAAATATGGATGCTAACTTTCGAGAAGATTTACTTGTATTTGTTATCTCAGGATACTGATATTTTTCTCAGTATAAATAATTTCGTATAAACGTTAAACAATCACTACTTTTCATTACGGTAAAGTGACTTAAGCCACTTTCAAAATAAATAGTTTAGAAAAATGACTGACATATATTAATTTTGTCCAACGTATTTTACCGAAGTGATGTTTTGAAAGGACAGTGATTTACTAAAATTGTTGAATAAATTACATATATAATAATAATTTATACCATGAACATATTTAATATAAAGGTTTGATTTAAGTATCTTTTATTTTAATATTCATAAAATACAAAAATAATTGGTACATTTTGAAACATAAGTATAAGTAATTTATATGAAAATACATCGGTTCAATTTAACTTTCGTCATCAATAGGAGTGATTAAGTCCTCGGAAATCGTGTTTTGTTTCATATTTTTAAAATAACTGTGGTATATTGGGG